ACCGACCTAACAGGCAGAGGTCAGTGTGTAAAAGGACCATTAACACCTTCAACTTACCTCCTATTGTTGAAGACTTCAAAGAAAGGGCTGAGATAGGAACTAGCTTCCATGCTTATCTTAACAACACAACAGCACAAGGACTCTAACACCCCTAACTGTAGCCCTTGACTTGGAGAGAGTCAGTTCACTTCCTTCCCAGAGAGTTATGTAGATTTGGCAATGGGAAAGGGAACAAGACAGGAAAAATGCTTTGACAGAACATGAAAAGCTATTAAGATGATGTTGGCAACAGGTGTGTAAAGGCTCATTTATTTGTATAAAAGGGATTAGGAAAAGTAGATTGTTAGCCTAGCATGTCTCTAAGTCAATCAATTTAAGGGGACACCCCATTTCTGGTTCTTATTTTTTCACTGCAATTCAGCTTTGGTGATATATTTTTGCAAACACGCATAATTTAAGCATGTGGAAGGGACCTGCCTTACCCTTTGAGTGAGACTGGCACCCCCAATGTTGGAGTTTTTACAACCTTTCATGCTGCCTGTAGTTTGTTTGGCCGGGAGGGACCTTTCTGGACTGACCTGATAGTCAATATCCAGCACTAACCAATCATTCCTTCCTGCCTCTGAATTCCAAGAGAGCCTTGCCTCTCTGCTGAGTGTCTCTTTCTGCTTTGTCCGTTGCCATCAGGTGTTTGTTAGTTTGCTTATCTCTTAACAACCTTAAGAAAATGTTTTTATTCTTTTGACTACGAATGTTTCAGAGGGATCTACTGAGACTGTAAGTGCCAGTGAATGAGAAAGGGGTGGACTATCTGGGGAAGTTGCAGCTTTTCTCCTCTATGCGTCTCTGTACTTCTGCTGTTTAGTCACAAGGAATTTTAAACAAAAATTCAACACCTTAAGCAGCAGATTTCAAGTCTTACGGAAATGTAGCAAATTATTAGTCATTAACTGGTGCTCACTGTGTGTTTTTGTACTGGAAGGGCTTGAGGCAAACCCCGGTGGGATCTTCTGTCTCACATGCATTGGGCACTAAGCATCTTGATTTGAATGGAAGTATGTGACGAAGGCATTTGCTGCTCCCACCCCAGGCTAGCCAAGTGATGGGGACAAAGAATTTTTATTTAATTAAGTGCAGTTTATATACTTCCCGGAGTCAAAACTTCCCCAAAGTGTTTTATCCAGAAATTGCTATAACTTCTAAGGTTCCAGCAGGCGGGATCAGGGAATGTTCAGTCTAGCTTTGCAGTTTGACGGGGCTAGAAGTCTGCTTTAAGCAAGAAAGCACCTGAGACTCGCTGGAGGACAAACCACTGCTACATTTTTTTATGCTCCTACGAAATCCAGATAAATACGGTCTTGTCCACAAAAATAAAAATATTTATTGAGAAACAGAACCTGGAAATGTTACTTTTAAAGACACCAGCCAGCATGCATGCACACATGAGTACCTTAACAGACCCTCTTCTGTTTTCTTAGTCACTACCACAGCTCTTAAGTAAATGCTGTCATTTTGGGCAGTGAAGGTTTCAAAATCAAAATCCCACCCAATGAAAGCTCACTGCCTGCTCCTAAAAACAAGTACTCTTGCGTGCTTTAGGACCATAACAAACTGCAACAATAAATATTGGAAAATCTACCCAAAGGTCTCTGGGCGGCTTTAGGACCATAACAAACTGTAACAATAAATATTGGAAATTTTTTTGCAACCACGCATGCTGCCTTTAATAGGTTTGGCTGGGAGGGACCTTTTCTGGGCCGAGGTGACTGTCAAATCTATCCAGCACCAACCAACAATACCTTCCTTATTTGTTAATGGGAAGGAAGGGGGAGAGAAGCAACATTTTTCCAAGGCACTCCTGCAAAAATTATGGCATTTGATTCAGAAAGTCCCAAAAGCAGAGACAGGCCTCATTTGTACCCAATAAACCCACAACTTGTGAGCATTTTAGCTTCCTCTTTGTAAACCATCTGCTTTTACATGTCACCAAATATCTTTGCTTGGGAGTGTCCAAACTAACCATTTTCCAAATTGCAAAAACTCAATTTTCTGTCCAAAGGGGACTCCTAGTTTGCTATTCCCCTGTAGCCATGGCCCAAAACTTGCTGCAGAGGTGGAAGAAAAGATGGTGCCCTGGCCTTCCAACTCCGTGGAAGAGGCTGGCAGATAAATCTGATTTTAACCATGTCGACAAGAGAGCCTCCTTCATTCCATGCGAGAGCAGGATTATAAATGGGTGGCAGAGGAGCAGATGAAGTCACATCTATTCTGCCCCCCCCTCTGCATCTACTGTCGGGGGCAGTGGCCTTATCCTGCCTAATGGTAGAGCTGGCCTTGTTCCCCAAAGAAGCTGGAATTCCAGACAAGACTAGGAATGTTAGGAAGAACAAGTTCAACTGCATCAAGCAAGAGGCTGACCTTGAAATCATTATTTTTGGGGACCACAACTCCCTAACTCAAATCTCCACCTGCTCGCTCACTTTCCCCATCTTTCCTAGAAACTCTGCTGGAAGCAGCTTGCCTGGGGACAGTTCATTCCAGATGAGGACCACCATCAAAGATGGAGCCTCTCCAGCTTCAACTGTTTCCATCTAGCTGGTCATTCTAGGCCTGGAGCTGTTTTCTCCTCCTCCTTCCTCACCCGTTCCTCCTTTTATATCATGCCTTACCTTTAGATCCTTAGCCTGACAATAGAACTCATTACTTATCTTGCAAGCCAGCCATGGATGGAGCCTTTCTGGCCCCTGGGTGGATTACAATTATTTTAAATAATCACCCTAACATCTTCCTCCTCCAGTTTCTTAGGGAAGTTAAGAAAAACAGGGTCAGGTAAGCATGCAAGGGAAGACATCCCTGAGGAGTTACTGCTGATCAAAGCAAGCAACACTGGCTGAGATATTCTTAGTTTTAATATTTGTTACATTTACTGTATACCCCACTTTGAGTCCTGATGAAATCAGAAAGCCACTGGGGTATGTATGTATGTATGTATGTATGTATGTATGTATGTATGTATGTATGTATGTATGTATGTATGTATGTATGTATGTATGTATGTATGTATGTATGTATGTTTACATTCAATGAAATAACTGTTTTGTATAATGGAAAGAACCCAATGGTCATTAGTAATTCGGCGCCAGAAGCTGAGGAAAGGATGTAATATAGTTTGAAATGACAAAGACAAGGGTCTATTGATATTGCTTACCCTTTTTTGACTGGGACGCAGCAACAAACAGTCTAACAAAAGAAAATACAGCAGGAACCCCCTATCCACAGGATCAGTATCTGCTGATTCATTTATACAAAATAAAAAAACTTCAGAAATGTGTATTTGATATATATTTCTAGGATGTATTTATCACAACCAACTACTAGAGGGGGTCAGAGCCACGCAATGCATAGCACTTAATACTTCATGGTTACTTTGGCACCCAGGGAGGGGCTTGGAAACGATCCCCCACAGATACGGCAGTCCTACTGCACACAGATGCCCTCACACACGGTTGTAGTTATCGACTGGCGGCCCTTTACTGACTGCATACACTGCCCTCCTGGCATAGGGACTATAGTTCAATCTAGGCAACCCAAGGGCCTTTACAGGCCTTTAAGCTGAAACTATCAGGGAAGAATGGAAAGACCAGAGCCATCCATCCTTCACCGGGGAGATCATCTGTTCTGTGCTGGGTGGCACAAGCTGTTTCCCTCACCAGTCAGCCTGTCACCATCTGCAAAACATAAGCTAGTCTTAGAACAATAGGTTTCCATATTTCGGGATGCAGTGTGTAAATTCTCTCTAGCTCATCGCTCCCACTAAGCCAGTCACGTGACATTCATAAAATAATGTATACACGTTTTAGAAAGCAAATTTCTCATCTAATAGAGAAGTACATAAGGCTGAGAAAGTCATTGCCCAAGGTCACCCCATTCAATTGAACCTTCTTGGCCTTTAAGATTGGTCCCATTTCCAGCGCAGGGATGACTGATGGGGACACAAGAGAATGCCTTCTCTGTGGCTGATCCCAGGTTATCGGATGCTCTCCCTCGGGAGATCCGGCTGGCCCCCCCTCACTTCTGTCCTTCCTCTTGACAGCTGGAGACTCCTCTTTTCAGACTGGCTTTTAACCATTGTGGCTCAGTCCCTGGATGCCTCTTAAAAGTTAAGATAGTTTTTAATGTTTACTTGGTTTTAATGATTCAATATTTATTATTTACAGTGGGGTCTTGACTTGAGAACTTAATCCGTATTGGAAGGCGGTTCTCAAGTCAAAAAGTCTGTAGGTCAAGTCTCCATTGACCTACAGTGCATTGAAAACCGATTAATCCCGTAACAGGCCGGTCTTGTTCCATTTTGGTTTTTTTCTGGTCTGTAAGTCAATTCTCAGGCTGCAAGTCAAACCTAAATTTTGTGGCCAGAGAACTCTGTAACTCAAAAAGTCTGTAAGTCAAGCCGTCTGTAAGTCAAGGATCCACTGTATTTAAAATATTTTTCTCCCACTTTCTTAAAGAAGAACTCAAGACAGGGTTTTAATTAGCATACAGTTTTTTTTAAAAAAATGTTTAACGTATTATGTTTTTAATTCTGTTTTTTTAAAAAAATATTGTTAGCTGCCTTGGGTTCTCTTATCGGGAGGAAGATGGGCTATAAATAAAATAAAGTAAAATCAGTTTCATGGCTGGGAATCTGAAAAACGACTTCCCAAGTCTTTGTGCACACTGCATTGGTTCTTTAACGATCTGACCTGGCATAGAGTGAACATCTATTATCCCAAAGAAAAACTCCAAAATGGGTGGCCAGATAGAAGCCAGCGCATGCATGCACGGCACATTCTGGATTGATCCTTAACAGGGCATCTTTTCCAGCTCAGCCTACAGTGTCTTGAGCAAAGAGAAGAAGCATCGCATAAAAAGGCACAAGACTTCAAAGGGAGATGTGAAAAGCTCAAAAGAGAGAAGTACGAGACTCGCCTTCCGGCTCTCCCTCCCTCCTTGCTACTCACCCTGCTGAGCTGATCCAAGAGTCTTTGGTTCTGTTCAGATAGTTCCTGGACCGCCCGGGTTTTCTCTCGATCGGCTTCTCGAAGGTGAACCTGCTGCTTCTCCAGCTCATCCTGGAGCTGCTTCACGTCGCTCTCCAGTTCCGATACCCTGCCTTCCCATTCCCCTTCTTTATTCTCAAAACGTCGCCGGAGTTCGTGTTTCTCTTGTTCCAGGTGCTGCATAACATAAGGGGCAAAGGGATGGGGGGAAGCCAAGACGTCATTTTCCCGCATTCTCCATGGTCCATGAACTTATTTTTTAAAAAGGACTCCGCAGATTCCACCAGAAACCCACTATTTGCAGCTTGCCAATGGCACCCGGATATAATTGGAAACTAATTCGTTTAAAGAAAAGGAAACAAATGAACGAGAGCCACTGAAATTATCTTTAAAAACACGTTTTGATCTGCCTGGATAAGCCTTTGCTGTTTTCTACAGCCTCCTACTATAATGCTTCAAAGCATCTCCGCCAGATCCTCAGAGAACTCCATGCAGAAATTCTTACCCCGCCAAATCGGCAGCGTTTCCTCAATTTCACTTTGGTATAAGCCCCCATTTGGCTCCTTCCCTAAGACTAAATTTACACATTCAGAACAACCACATGGAATTGATGTGGCTTGCATTTTTATCCTACCTTTCCAGAACTGGGGATGCTATAGTTCCGCACCCACCCAGCCAGCAATAGTTAGTTATAATGGTCACAGTTGCCATGATGGTAACAATTAGAGCAAATTCCTTTTAAAACGAACCGTCCAAACTCTGCACGTTTTCTCCAGGGAGCTCACTTGGCATGGATGGCCCCCCTCCAACGTCTCCCCTTTCGGGATCTCCTCTGTCCTCTGTGCACTTTATCAGTGAAAGCGTTGACTGTGCCGACCATCTTATGGTGTTTGTTCGCTGCTGCAAAGTGGTTGACTGGTATTCCCTCTCCTCATACCCTCAGGTATACAAGAGAGATGGCTGATAGGGACAGTGCAGCATGCAGTAAAAGGAGGAGGAATTGGGACCCTCTGGGATATCACCAGGCCCGGCTGACTTATCCTCCTTCTATACATTGAGATTATGCTCAGCTAAGACCTCCTTCAGCAGGCAGGGGCTAAATCCACTCATTTATCTGCAACTAGAGTAGAGCCATGGAATCAATGGAGACTTATATAAGCTTCAATTTAACTAATCCATTTATTTCACGGCTCTAACTCTAAACGACACCAAGCAGTGATTATATTCTTTCCATGGTGTTGATTTTCTTACCAATTCTGTTTTGCTTTTTATTATTATTTTAATATTGGGATTAGCAATCCTGTTGTTTTGGTTGCTGTTTTATCGACTGGGGAATTTTTAAAGTTCTAAATCACCCTGAAATGATATACAGAGCACATAACCAGGGTGGAAGTGTGGTGAGAGAATAAGCCTGATGAATTAGATAAAAGAGCACTAGGCTGTCAACCCAGAGATGGGTTCCTGCTTTTATAATATGAGGCCATACCCTATATTCAACTCTCCACCCAAGAAGGGCACTTAAGATGTTATGGCCCATCAAGGCACTTGAGCCTTAGGGGGACCCCTTGTAGGGTTTTCAAGGTATGTGAAATGTTCAAGAAGAAGTTTAGCATTGCCAGGCCACCCATAGAGCACTAGGCTGTCAACCCAGAGATGGGTTCCTGCTTTTATAATATGAGGCCATACCCTATATTCAACTCTCCACCCAAGAAGGGCACTTAAGATGTTATGGCCCATCAAGGCACTTGAGCCTTAGGGGGACCCCTTGTAGGGTTTTCAAGGTATGTGAAATGTTCAAGAAGAAGTTTAGCATTGCCAGGCCACCCATCCTCCATGGTGGGGGACCCCTTGTAGGGTTTTCAAGGTACGTGAAATGTTCAAGAAGATGTTTAGCATTGCCAGGCCACCCACCCTCCATGGGTTTCCATGGGCAGTGGGGATTTGATTCGGGAGGCCCCGAATTCTAGCCCAGCATTCTATCCACTACAACACACTGGAGCTCAGAATGGAAAATAATAAGAAAATACTGGAAGGAAGGGATAAAAAAAAGAACACACAATCTTTGGTGGAAGAACGTTGACATGAAAGCAAATAAATTAAAAGGCACAGTCAAAGCACGGGAATAAAAAGGATTGTTATTTGAGGCTATGTCATTGACAACGGGCGTCAATTGCCTTCCTTAGGACATGGATAGCATGCAGAGGTTGGAAATGTTACTTATGGGATCGAGAACATGAAGAGCATTATCCATGATGGTTGGGGCATTCGGGAAGGGGGAGGATTTAAGCCCAAAGCTAACTTTGCCACACTCTTGGACATAAATTTTGTAATGCCACCCAGAGTACAGTAGATCATTGGTCTAGATGGGTGAGGCATAAACTTGAATGAATGAATGAATGAATGAATGAATGAATGAATGAATGAATGAATGAATGAATGAATGAATGAATGAATACATACATACATACATACATACATACATACATACATACATACATACATACATACATACCGGTGAGATTTTTCACTGTTTCTGGTCATTGTGGAAGCAAGAGACCATTTCTACCCAGAGTACAGTAGATCATTGGTCTAGATGGGTGAGGCATAAACTTGAATGAATGAATGAATGAATGAATGAATGAATGAATGAATGAATGAATGAATGAATGAATGAATGAATGAATGAATGAATGAATGAATGAATACATACATACATACATACATACATACATACATACATGCATACATACATACATACATACATACATACATACATACATACATACCGGTGAGATTATCAGCAGGGATGGAGAGCAAATTATCAGCAGGGATGGAGACTCGCGACTCACTGTTGAGCCCAACCTAAGTTTCACCTGCCACTCAACTTGGACTTCAGTTGGATTTTTTTTTTAAAAAAAAAAGAGACTCCGACTCATTTCACCTGCCACTCAACTTGGACTTCAGTCGGATTTAAAAAAAAAAAGACTCCGACTCGACTTGTGACTCGGACCCATTTTTCTGAGTCACATTTTTGAAGTCCCTATTATTTTAATGGAGACTGCAAGAGAGCCCCTTTGCCTGTGTCTACCAGGCCCATCAGCGAGACCCCCAACAAGAGGCTCTGTGGCCTCTTGTTGGGGTTTGCTGGGTATTTTTAAAAGTCAATTGAAAAACTGGCTGTTTTTTAGCCCACAGTGCCACCACGTCCCTCTTCTCTCTCTTGGTGTCATATATTATTTTAAACTGAATGTTTAAAAACCATGAGCTGACCCCCCAAAAAAAAGCATAACTGGGGAGAAGCAAATTATCAGCAGAGATGGAGACTTGCGACTCACTGTTGAGCCCAACCTAAGTTTCACCTGCCACTCAACTTGGACTTCAGTTGGATTTTTTTTTTAAAAAAAAAAGAGACTCCGACTCAACTTGTGACTCGGACCCATTTTTCTGAGTCACATTTTTGAAGTCCCTATTATTTTAATGGAGACTGCAAGAGGGGCCCTTTGCCTGCGTCTACCAGGCCCATCAGCTCTGTGGCCTCTTGTTGCGGCTCGCTGGGTATTTTTAAATGTCAATTGAAAACCTGGCTGTTATGGCAGGCCTTCCCTCCAGGCACTACTTGATTTACTTTTTCTTTTTCTTTTCCATCTTGAATGATTGTTTATTGTTGTGGTGAATCACTGTTGCTTTTATATTGTTTTATTTACTTACTGTCAGCCGCCCAGAGGAGTCTATGACTAGATGGGTGGGGTATAAGTACAACAAACAAACAAACAAACAAACAAACAAACAAACAAACAAACAAATAAATAAATAGAGCCATGGCACCACCCAGCCACCCCCAGGCTCCGAAGACAGGCCTTGAGGCAGCCCAGAAGCATCCCTGTTGCCTTGGCAACGGCAACCTCACCACCGCCTAGCAGTTGCCCAAAAAAGCATTGGCAAGGCCTTCTGATGGCCTGCCGCCATTTTGCTGGCCGCTCTGAGGGAAGAGGAGGAGGAAGAGGAGGATGGCCCCCCAACCCCTTGGAGAGGGGTGAATGGGGCGGACAGACGGCACACAACCCCACCCCACCCCTCGATCCTTCCCTTTCCTTGCTGAAGAGGTTGCCATGGTGATTCTGGGCCCGTGCTGGCCATGGGAGTGGATGAAATTTGTGGTTGCCCATTGGATTTCTCCTCGTCAGCCATGGTGCTACATCCGTGGGCTGCCCGGGGAATTCTGTCAGTTGTTGTCCAGAAGAGTACTCCAGTCTCTATTGTTTTAACAGGGACTTGAGACTTGAACTCAAGGCTTGGGACTCGGGACTCGGGCCCAAAGCCTTGCCAACATCCTGATGATCAGTACCCATAATTAGTAAAATGCATTGAGGAAGATGTTACGGTACCTCTTGTGAAAGAAGTATGCTTCGACTTTTAAAGTGACACTTCTTCATCATCATCATAGGCATCCTTCAGTCTCGAGAGACTATTGTAACATGCTCTGAATAGAGGACTTGGAACAGCGTCTAGTGTGGCTGAGAAGGCCAATTCGAGAGTTACCATCCCTTCCACACTGAAGACAAATACAATCTGTCCCCCATCCAGTTCCCTGATTTTGCTGCTTTCGTAACTGCCTCTTTGCCTCGGCCTCCTGGACAAGGGTCTCTTCAAATTGGGAGAGGCCATGATGCACTACCTGCCTCCAGGCTGAGCGCTCAGAGGTCAAGGTTTCCCATCTGTTGAGGTCCATTCCGAAGGCCTTCAGATCCTGCTTGCAGATATCCTTGTATCGCAGCTGTGGTCTCCCTCTGGGGCAATTTCCCTGCACTCATTCTCCATACAGGAGATTTTTTGGAATCCGACAATCAGCCATTCTCACGACGTGCCCAAGCCAACGTAGACGTCGCTGTTTCAGTAATGTATACATGCTGAAAATTCCAGCTCGTTCTAGGACTACTCTATTTGGAACTTTGCCAGGTGACACCAAAAATGCGTCGGAGGCAAAGGATATGGAACGTGTTCAGCTTCCTCTCCTGCTGTGCACAAAGGGTACAGGACTCACTGCAGTCCAGGAGTATGCTCAGGACACAGGCTCTATAGACCTGGATCTTGGTGTATGCTGTCAGCTTCTTATTGAGCCATACTCTTTTTGTGAGTCTTGAGAACATAGTAGCTGCTTTGCCAATGCATCTATCCAG